AGGAAGGCCGGTCGTACTACATCTTTGAGGCGGCCCGGAATGACAGCCTCGTGAACAACTTCAACCCTGCGATTATCCTAGGCTGGCTAGCCAATATCGACATATCTCCTTGCACCAGCTTACAGGCGGTCATTACATACTCTGCGAAGTATTGCAGTAAAGCTGAGAAGAAGACCGAGTCTTTCTCCCGGCTTGCAGACCAGGTCTTGCCTCATACATCGCACGTTCAGCCCCTGTTGTCCTTCTCCTCTCGCCTCATGAACAAGCTGATCGCTGAGAGAGATTACTCGGTGCAGGAGATTTCCCATCTGCTGCTTAACATCCCTCTGCAGGAAGGCACTCGGATGGTTGTCTCCGTCGACTGCCGTCCGTTGGAACAACATGCGCGTTCGTATCGGGTGGATGGAGATGTCAACGAGTCTATCGGCAACTACAGAAAATATCTGGAGAGAAGTGAGCAGCATGACCATGTAACCTACCTCGAGTACCTGCAGTCGTACAATCTCAACACGTGGAGGAGACTCGCTGCTAACGCGAAGAAAAGGGTCCTAGCCTACTTCCCTCGGTATAAGTCCACGGACGCTTCTCCCCAGTTTAATGACTTCTGCCGTGTTAAATTGATGATGGCTCATCCACATCGCTCTCCACAAGAGTTGCTCGTTATGAGCGGGCAGCAGTTTGATTCCTTCGCGGCTGCGTACAAGGGCTGCAGAGAGCACCATGACACCCATGCGGACGATCATTATGGGGAGCCAGATACAAATGAATTAAGGGCAGAGGACGATGAATTTGAGCCTGAGGTCCACGAGGAGCCCATTACCGAGGAGGACTGGCATGAACTCGCCCGCATGCTACCTGACCGCCCACTGGAGGAAGAGGATATTGACGTCCTCGGCCGCCGAGATATTGACATCAATTACGACTGGGCCCCTCACGTTGGACGGTATGCAGATGATGACATTCTCAACGGTGACTACTGGAAGCAGCGCAAAGTGGAAAACCCCATGGACCTTGATGTGGATGATCAGCCCTTGGAGGCTCGCGATTCCCTAAATCCCGAGCAGCGTCTAGTGTACGATACGGTGATGGGCCATTTCCTAACACAGGATCCCTCCCAGTTGTTACTCCATGTGGATGGTGGAGGCGGCACTGGCAAGTCATACCTCATCAACCTGCTCTCCGCGCACCTCCAAGCCGCGACGGGCGGGAGAGGGACACCTGTTTGGCGTGCCGCGCCCACGGGCGTCGCGGGAAACCAGATATCGGGCACTACCTTGCACTCCCTGTTGCACCTCCCAATCAATAAGGACTTCCGGCCCCTGTCGCCGATTGATAAGGCCCAGCTCCAGAAGAAGCTGAAGGATATCAAGTACCTGATCATCGATGAGAAGAGCATGCTAGGACTGCGTCAGCTATCGTGGATCGATGACCGTCTCCGCGAGGCGTTCCCGAGTAGGAATGAAGAGTTCTTTGGCGGCTTGAACATCCTGCTGGTCGGCGATTTCTTTCAACTACCCCCTGTGCTACAGAAGCCACTTTACTATGATAAAGAGGTGCAGGGGATAGAGATCAAGGGCAGGAACGCGTATAGGCGCTTCGATAAAACAGTATTCTTGAAGGTTGTTCAGCGACAGCGCGGCGACGACCAGGAGGCCTTTCGCACAGCTCTTGGGGAATTGCGGCTGCTCCAACTATCTAAAGAGTCCTGGAAGCTCCTTTCCAGCCGCGTACAGGCAAAGCTAGACGATCGGGAGGTCGCGAGATTCGTCAACGCCTTGCGAGTATACGCCACTAAAGATAGGGTGAACGAATATAACCACTATCACCTCGACCGCCTCAGCCGGCCGGTCATCCAGGTTACGGCTAAGAACGTCGGCCCTGGCGCTGCTGCTGCCCCTGACGACAAGGCGGGCAACCTTGCGAAGCAGATCCCTATATGCATTGGCGCCCGTCTGATGCTGACGTCTAACCTTTGGCAACCCGTTGGCCTCTGCAATGGCGCTCGCGGTACAGTTTACGACATCGGCTGGGCACCTGGGGCCGACCCCATCCAAGACCCTCCCTGTGTTATCATGATGGAGTTTGACAAATACAGCGGACCGGTATTCCTGACCACCGCTGATGGCAGGAAGATTGTGCCGATTCTCCCAGTGGAGAGGGACTTCCTCATCGGAGCCACTCTCTGCGCTCGCACCCAATTTCCCCTGATCGTATGCTACGCAATTACCGTGCACAAGTCACAAAGCATCACCGAAGACATGATAGTTACAGATCTGTCCTGCCGGGACTTTCAGACTGGTTTAAGCTACGTGGCTGTCTCTCGCGTGAAAAAGCTCGACGGTCTGATGTTGGATGCACCATTTGATCGTAATCACCTGGTCTACAGGTCTCCCCCGGATGGCATGAAGATGAAGATGAGGGATCAGGAGCTTCGGAAACGACAGGTGCTCACACGGAATCCGTACATGTCACATAATACCAAGAATGGCCATGGCAATGGATCAGTACGTAGATAATGCAGTAGTAATAATAGCTTCCCGGCCCGCGGACACACAGCCTTCGGCTGAGGCTACCCCATGCACCCCATCGCCGCTTCAATGTGCATGGGGTGACGTAGTATTTTATGCTCACCATCCCATCGTCGTCTGCGGAGAGCGAGAGGACGTTTAGCAGTGCAGGACGTATGATGGCACCACTGAGAAGCCGGCTGCGGAGGGAGATAGTGGCGATAGCTCAGTGTATTCGATCGTGGAGTAAAACTGGAATCTACACGCCTTCACTGCCGCTGTTTAGCCTCGATGATGATCAATGGGTTGACGCACTTGCGTCGCTGAATGGGACGAGTGACATTTAATCTGCCTAGTACCTGCTTTGCACAATTGACACTGTTCTGCGACGTCTCATCTGAAGCCGTCCTCTAAACCCCCTCTGCACCTCTTACCCCTCTTACGTCGGGGTATGAAGGCATGACCGCCTGGTGATGATGACAACGATCCATTTGGTTCTACGTCCCATTGGTGTTTCGGTCTCCGCCGGGATTAGTTCTACGTTCGATCGAATTCGAATCGAATTCGATCGAATCTTGGCATTCGATAGATATCGAATCTACGGAAGACACATTCGATTCGATCCGAATCTACCGGAGACACGTTCGATTCGAGTCGAATCTACGGGACAAGAATTGCGGCGCGTTCGATTCGATGCGAATCTACGGGAGGTACATTCGATTCGATTCGAATCTACGGGGGTCACATTCGATTCGAACGCCAAGCCTTGGCGTTCGATTCGACAGATTCGTAAGATGTCCATCCCTGGCAGGGACCCTACAGTGGTCATAGCCACGGTGGCTCGGATGGTAAAAATCCTGCTGGCACGGCCAAAACACAGCTCACTACATAGTATCCACATCCCAGCCACCAGCAGATCGGACCACCTTAGTCATACAGTCTCAACACGCTCATCACCGTCAAGATGTCCGATATTGACGATACCTCTTCGGTGAACGCCCTCTCGGAAGCAGTTATGAGACGGCCAGCCAGCCCTCGACCCTGAACACGAGATCCGCCGCAGCCGGAAGCACCTCGTTTGCTACTTTTCGCCGGGGACGGTCCGTTGCCGACCAGCTCCGAGATATCGACGCCTTCGACGGCGTGCGAGTGTGAGAGGATCTTCAGCCTTGCCAGGCTCTTGGTTGGCACGCAGCGACACTCTCTCCAAGATCTGACAATGGAGATGATCACTGGTGTGAAGTTTTGGCGGCGGAATCCACTGATCTAACGCCGGGCTCTTGTTCTAGATGGCTGCTTTGTCCGTAGAGGCTAGTCTGCCGTTGAGCTCACGATGGCCGGTCTGCTTACTAACACGGCTTGAATAGGCTTGACAAGATATCAAGTCAAGCCAAGTCAAGTCAAGTCAGACCGCTAACTTATCAAGTCAAGACAAGCTAGAGCTCTGGCTTGACTTGACTTGACTTGTTGAGAGCGCTGCTTCCTACTACGGGGTCGAGTATTTGACAACCCTCTAAAAAATACTAGACTCGGCGCTTCGACTCTACTGAGGACTCCCAGATTCCCGAACAGGAGGATGGCCCAAGGCCCAAAAAGAGGAAACATGACATGAGGAATGGCCCCTAGGCCTAGAAACGTCCCACGACAACCGATATCCCCCAGACTGCCCCTATGCCGGGACTATCTCTGTCCTGTGACCGCTGGAGTCCCAGGGCTAGTTTGGTCCTAAGACTGAAGCCCTGGGACCATCACTGTCTCAGGACGGATGTCCCAGGAAGGACGATGTCCCAGGACCATCACTGTCCCAAGACTGCGTCTGTCCCAAATCCGTTGATGTCCCACGGCTTTATCAGAGTAATTTAAGTGCTGTAGCCATTGTGCCTATCGTTACTCAAATAAGAATCCTCGTCCATCAGGCTGTCATCTCGCGGCGGCATACCTAGCTCCCGCGGCTCGCCGTTTTCCGGCAGCAACTCTTGTCCTGTACCTTAAGGAATGACACCACAGATTTGACGATCCCACAAGGAGGTGGCTCCAGGCTGGCGATCAATTCCACCTCCACCTCCACAATTTCAATATTGTTGAAGTGGAAGGCCCGTGCGTTTCAGGATGGAAAGCCTGAGTGAGCTTATTCCGGAGGACTTGCCAGCATACTTCAATCAGATCAAGAGTGCAGTGGATCAAATACCCTAAGGTGGGATCATTCATTAGGATCTATCGCTGAGCTTGGACTGTTTAAAGCAGCATCACATTTGATGACCAGAAAAGGCTAGATCAGTTTTCAGGTACCTTGGGTTGGATTCAAACTTATTGCATCCCACTCTATTCATGATGATTGAAGTCGACAATGTTTCCATGGCGCGGTTACATGACCAAATTCAGCTAGGCTCACCCCGATCCCACATATTCCGTTCAAGAAACTCTCCATCAGCTCATTCCTGGTCCCTCATTCCTCAGACTCTGGCGTATACAATATTGATACCGGGTTTTATTTTAGGGGCTCTGGGCGGAAGAAACGGAGTCTGGGGCCGAAATCCCGTTTGGCATCAGTACCGTAGTGAAAGCACCGGATAGAACCGTTAATTGGCTCATTGTGTACTGGTACATGGAGCCCGAATAGGCTCGTAGGGTTGTCGGTCGTTGTGTGAACTGGGAGTAAGCCATGGTTGAGAAGATGACGGAATCAATAACATGGCCTGGTTGAGGGGGAGCCAGGGCTTGTATTTAACGAAAACCCACCCCATGACCTTAGACCACGGTGCGAGAACGGTCGAGACCGATTGTAGGTACGTCATTGCACTTGTGTTGGTTGAGGGGCTAGCGGGGAACCCTGATTTAAGCCTGGCTGCGAGGATTATTTCTTGTTTGTTGGGCAACAAATCTCTACTAATGGGGCTCAAAACCACCCAATCGCTCTGGGTTGATTTCAAAAAAAAAAAAAAAAAAAAAAAGGTACCTAGGTCCCCTAGTTAGCCCCGCCAAAACAGAAGTACCTCGCTGTTAATGAATATTATCTCTATTGCGATACCTGATGTCAATGTCGCCCTGTTCTGCAACCTGATGTTGTTGATTGCATTTAAAGAAAAAGGAGTAAAACCTGTCGGCCGCCTTGTCCGCGATTCGGCCAGACCCAACCGGATAGGAACCCGCGCAAGTGATGTCGATTCTCGCCCCCCCCCCAACGCGTTATCTTTTCGTCGTTCCGGTCTTCACCATCAATGTCGAGGGCGCGCACAAGCCTACGCATTGCAATGTCAGTCCAAACCTTCAATGACAGTCGAAGGGCCAATCGGGACGTGCGAGTCAGGCCCCGTCGAGTCCCTGCCTTCTGGCCCCAGCAGGCGCGACCACCATGCGCTGTTTCATCAGGGACGTGTCCGCTGGTGGCCTCCTCCCGCGGGGTGGTTCGGGTGTTCTGTGACCACGTAACAGATCCGACAACCACCTGCTCCCATCAGTCTTAGCAACTTCCATCACGTCCGAATAGAGCACTTAGGCTTCTTCTGAGCCCTCGGGCCGCCGTCGCTTCAACCCTTGCCAGAAGGGTTTCGAGTCGAACGGTTTTCGTTTCCCAGTATCCCTCTTGCAGCTTTTAGCTTCGGCGCCGGGAGGCAAATTCGACTCGTTATTCCTCTCCTACTTTATAATTTAACTACAACACACTGCTCAACCTGCCTACCGGTTGAGTGTAAGGCTTCTTGTTCCTTGTATTTCTTTCTATTCAATCCAAATGTCACCTACGCCTCTTCTTTTGCTCCTCTCTGCTGTTTGCCGCCTTCACTTCCACAATTGCACCATCCACCTTGCTAATATGTAGCCCTCTCCCCTGCTCTGCACCGAACCGCTTGCAATCTAGCGCTAAATCTGCACCCGGCGCATTTTTGCGTCTGCTAAAATTATCCTGTTTCATGCTGACAATTTTTATCTGCGCTCCCGACTGCAGTTGAAGCTGACCTGCATTAAAATACACGCGCCCGCACCTGCTCCGACTCAGCAGGCTTCGTCTGCAACGTCCTGTGAACAATGAACGACGCCAATATGGCCAACATGTGCACCATGAATGGTTCCGTTGGTGATGGCTCGCCCATGGTGGATAGCTGCGCAGTTGCGCCAAAGACCGCTCCGAGACAGCTTCAGGTAAATGGCGACAACCGAACCTTGCTGAACACTTACATTTACGACTACTTCCTCCACTACGGTATGTTGGACTGCGCGTGCGCCATTCTCAATAGCGACTCCAAGGTCAAGGTCCAGAAGCATAGCCGTGACAGTTCTCTGGGGAAGAAAGTGGGCTTGCTAGGTAATGACCTAAGGCATAGCTCCATCGACCCTGGTTTGGACTCCAATCACCCAGAGCATGTTCCTGCTCCGAATGTTCCCAACCTGTCGCCAGACATCTGTTTTCTCTATGAATGGTTCTGCCTCTTCTGGGACATATTCAATGCTCGAACGGACAAGGGTGCAAGCAGTCAAGCGAACCATGTCAGTCATCTACAGCTATTGTCTTTCGCAATACTCTTCTGGTTCGGTCGTATAGCTAACACGGTGCACAACCACAGAACAAGCCAATCCCGAACGCTAGCTGCTCGCAGGCCCAAGATACCCCGCTGGTGCTGTACGCTCCTGACGGGACCACCCTCAAGGCTTTCTACAACCCCGGCGAGATGGGTTCAGGTGACATGGCGTCCGGGACTCCTGGTGCTGAAGCTAGCAGTGGAAGCCATCGGGCCCTGCAAGAGTATCAGATTCAGCTGCTGTGGATGGAGCAACAAAATAAGAAAGAGCTTATAAGGACGCGGCAAGACGCGAGTGGTCTGCCTGGGAATGACGAAGCGCCTGGTGGTCGGGTCGGTCCAGGGGCCTCGGGAGGTCCAGCTGGACCGAATGGTCGGCCTTTCCAAGATGTTTCTCTGCAAAGGGCAAGACCAGAAGTTTCGCATAATGCCGCCGACCAGATGGAATATGGCACTCGACGGATGAGCAGCACAGGCATGGGCTCCCATCTTCCCGAAATTTCCCAATCTCGGGGTTCTCCTAACTCCATCAACTTCATAACCAATCAAATAGACCCCAGCTTAGCGCCGCATGATTTCAACGCAGGTTCGGTCTGGATGAGCTAGTGACGTTTTGCTTGATGTCTGTTCGCTGCTCTCAGTGTCTCATCGGGCGCTGGATGCTATACTATTGAATAGAGAGAGAAGGACGAACAGAATAAGGTCAGACACGGTCTCATTGGCTGGACAGATGTGTAATCTAAAACATTTCATTATCTCTATTTCGCAAAGCTTCTGTAACCGTCTTATATGGCATGTTTGCCGAAACGCGACCGGGTTTACCCCACACTCAGCACATCGGTCTTTCTCCTCTGAATGCGGTTGCGATTTAAGGAGGCCTACGCGCAGGATGAGGTCCTTACCGCCCGCGAATACCTAGGGTCGAGCGGAGACTATCTGGGTGAATTACGAACAATCGAAGGGGCTTGGGCTAATCAACAAGCAATACCGTATTGCTCGCAAGGCGATGCCTACCGGTAAGAATCCCTTTCCGGAGCCTCTCCTAGATTGTAACGACAACTGCTCGGTTTCTATCGAGCTCGGGATACCTTGTTGTCATAAAGTCTACGCGAAGCTGGGTTCTGCGACGCCTTTCACCAAATATGAGGTCCATCTACCCTGGCGACTACGGGAGTCATCATCTCAAGATCCATACCGCCGGATTCTTGACCCTAAGATTGCCACTGCTCTTCGTGGTAGGCCTAAGAACACTTCGCAGCCTGTGCCTGCGAGACTGGCTATCGGCGGGAACAGCCAAAGCGTGAGTCAATTGACCAGCCTGCCGGCAAGCCAGCCCACAGGCGTAAACGAGGTCGGCCAGCGGGAAGTCGAAATAAATCCACACTCGCCAGGCTTTCGCAAGAAGCAAGCCAAGCGAGTAACACGCAGGCAAGTATTCAGGTCAGCATATCGACCCAGCGCCAGACACGTAGTCAGTCAGCTACCCTTGGATCTGGAAGAACAACAGGAATTCGTGCCAGCGGTCGGAGGACGCAACCTAGCATCCGGAGGACAAGGAGTCAATGGGAGCTAGTTGACAGCGATGAGGATATTCTTCATTCTATTGTGGTTAGAAAGTCGAGCGTCAGACGAGCACAAATAGAGCGAGAATCTTCTAATTAATAGCAAGACCTTTTAAGACGCCCTAATACGCTGCGCTATAGAGCACAAGAGAGACTGCAAGCAAAAATACAGTTGTGTTAAGAGAGCAAGTCACACCGCCTTTGTCAAAAAGTATTTCTGGGTCAGAGCTGGGATTGGCCAATAGGGTGTTGTAAAAGTCATGCGTCTGTAAGAGTCATGCGTCTGTATCAAAAGTGTCATGCGTCTCTATCAATTCCCCTTTGTAAATACATGATATTTCCCCGGTCAGAATCATCGCGGTCATCCTTATAATGAAGTGACTTCGCAGTCCTAACAAATTGGCGCTGGTCAGAGGTACCGGAATTTTGCGAATCAAGGGCACATTTTGCGAGTCAGTTGACCCCCAGGGAGCGGAGCGACCGCGGGGGCCCCGGATTAGAGGCGCCCACCAGTACACAAGACCCGAGTCATGGTCGGATCGATATTGCCATTCGCTACTTCTCTCGGCTAGCATCTCCGAGTCAGGGGCGGTTGGCGAGTGTTCCGAACACAATGACTATCTGTCAAGTGGGAGCCTGTGATGAGGCGTCGGATCGACAGCTTGATGTGGTTAAAACCACCGACTGTCAGCCACAGCGTCGTATACCAACCAGGCTAGAGATGGCACGGTGGTCAGCAAGTCCGCAGCTCGGCTCTCAGTGCCGGCGCTGACTACCCTAAACTGCTTTTTTGGTCCAGCTACCGGTGCTGTCATGTCATAGTTCGGACGTTCGCGCCATGTCCAGGCTAGTGGTGAGAAATGGGTACGCGTTCCACATGCTCATGTGAAATCAACGCGGTCGAGACCCTCTTGCTGCAACGCAACTTATCTCGGTGTCTGTTGTGGGGGACATGACTCCCCTTGTCTAGTGTCAACGATGATCCAACAGATCGGAGGTTTTTCTGTGCAGCGGAAAGCAGGGAAGATGTCGGCTCGAGGGTGGCACAGATCCGGTCATGACGTTACTTGACTAATACACGGGGTGTTGGAAATTGTGGCTCGCAAAACGGCTGGAATGCCTCATTCACAATCACCGCAGTTCTGCTGACGAACTTCTGCCATGAATAAGGTCTCAAGTTCTACCCGGAAAGGTTCTCGCCGTGGAAGATGCCAAGGATGCATGCGCAGAAGCTGCTCTGCACAGGATCACATGAGCTAAGCCGTCCAGCGGTCTCGCTATTTTAGTCGCAACTGCCCCGTCTTAGCCGGGTTCGACTCGGGATGGGTGCGCAATGTTTTCACCAAAACGGTCGAGATCCAGGAGCATGGTGTGAGAGCCAAGGAGCCGTGCGGTTTTGGGACGCCACTCAAGCCTCGTATCAACCCCCCTGCGCTAGGCTCTCGGGATGCGGATGCTAATCTGGATGGCCAGGAATCCCAAGTTTCTACGTACAGTGTCGGTAGGCCCCGAGACCGATCAACAGATTTGGAGTCCGGGGGATCAATGGATCTGCAGCTTGGTCTGCAGTCTGGTCTGGTTGCAGCCTGGTCTGTCTGTTACCCGTAACCAGGTTTGCCCTGACAGATAGGGACCATGAGACCCACATTGTTGCGTTCATCAGATTCAACAATGATCTGGCATACCATCCCAACCCAGGATCTGGAGATCCATCACCAGTTCTACGTCAATGGGTAATTGCGTCATGACGACAAAACAAGAGTCCAAGGGTCGACAAAACGTTCAAGGGTCTGAAAAACGCCCAAGCGACAGAAGGATTCAGGAATAGAAACGTGTGCGCTACCACATGGAGACAGCTTCGAGTTAGTGAATGAAGACCTCTTTGGGCACAAAGAGGTACCCAAGCATAACTACGCGGTGCTCCATGTACGAAGGTTGCCGGCAATGTTTTGTTAGTTAGCCCCACAAGGCCAGGGCCCCTTGATAGGTCATTTTACAGTGTAAGTCCTTTATTCATACAGTCTGATTTTTGAGAAGCGCGTTAAGAGGCACGGTTAGCTGCTTACATAAAGTGTGTCCCGTGCTCTTATTGGCTGACAGGCTAGCTTTTGTTGGTAGGTCCTTCAGCTCTCATCAGTCCGTCATTCGTACTGTCTGAAGACCTCTCAAGGGGCCTTGGCCCTGTGGGGCTAACTAACAAAACATACGCCGGCAACCTTCGTAAGCTGAACCCCTAGCGCCCTTGGCTGTGATATGAGCGCTGTGCAGATCCCATTCATTTACTGGCTAGCACTCCTCGGGTAACCAAATTAGGGCTTGCCATGTCTTGCCAGTCTAATGCGTGCATGCCGACTACTCCGTATCAATACACAGGCTTTTCCTTATGGAGCCTCCGGGATGTGGGGACCCGCTATTTCGTCTCCACGTCCTGCTGCGACAAGGGGCAAACTCGAGTGACACACACATAATAGGTACTGGCACACACATAATGTCACACACACACACAACGGACAAGGCGGCAGCCATCGCAGTAGGGCAGAAATAGTGTTTGCACCACGCGAGTCAAGCACATGGAGTGGCCTGAGGAGGGCTTGAAGGAGGCTTGAGGAAGGTTTGAAGATGGTCTGCACATGTCTCCTCCGTAGGAGTGGTAGTAATTAGTAGTGGCAGTACTACGTAGCACTTAGCAGTAGTAACAGAGAACTAGGAGTCCAAATGGCAGTCATACCAAAGCGCTCGGCTCTCATCTAACCAGTTCATTGGGCTCTGGGCAATCCAGCTAACACATCTGCGGGGACGGTCCGCCCCCGTCTAGTGACTGGTCTTAGAGTTTACCTGTGCTCACGCTACAATTTGGACAAGGGGAGACAAATGAGAGACCAACCATTGGGTAGTTTTTGTCTTCGCATGCAGAGTACCTGCGGAGCACGTCTTCACGAGACTCGGGCCAAGAGGGTCCGACCGTTCTGCTAATGCGTCAGTTGTGTACATGATACGTGCGAGACGAATAAGCAGGCTTCTCATCACCCCTGACCCCTCGAGATCTGGTTCTTACCTATTATAACACTGCTTGTTCTTTACTTTTTTCGTTTCTTGCGCCAGCTTCCATGTCCGTCCGCAGCGCCAACTTGCCCTCATTCCTTTCATTGTTCGTGATACCCCGCTGGCCATTCCAGCATGCTCACCTTGCTCCCTGACAACTTTGTGCTGGAGGAAGTGACAACAAATGACTTGATCATTGCGTCTCTTGCCTGGGGCTTCACCCTGGGCATCGGCTGGCTGACGGCATGGTCGGCCATCCAGCAGACCGCCAGCGCCTATCGTCGACGCGGATTTGCTCTGCTGCGCAACCCATACATCTGGATGATCTGGGGCGAGATTTCCGTTTGTCTTGGGTTTGGCATTATTTGCTTCATGTACATTTTGGGCGTCGTTAAGCCTAGGTAAATGTCCCGAGAATACATCCATCTGTTGTGTCTTTCTAACATCGCATGCAGTTTCGCCTTCTACTTTTGCATCCGTACGTCTATTAACCCACACATCTTGGTTGTATCCAGGTCTGCTCTTAAACTAACATCGCTTTTCCACTCAAGTTACTTTATGGGCCCTTCAGGTTCAGTTCCTCCTGCAAATTATTGTCAACCGTTGTGCAATCCTTTTGCACGACCGGACTTTCGTCTGGCGAGTCAAATATGGCGTCGCAGCTTTCATCACCGCTATCAACATTTCCGTCTACTGTATCTGGATTCCCGCCCGGTTACAAATTTCCGAGTCGTATATACACATCAACGAGATATGGGATCGCTGTGAAAAGATCATCTACCTCCTTGTCGATGCTTGTCTCAACTTTCTCTTCATCCGCATCGTCCGATCGAATCTGGTGGAATTGGGACTAAGCAAATACGACAACCTGGTCAAGTTCAACATGTTCATCATCGTTTTCTCCCTGAGCATGGATGTTCTCATTGTCTCCATGATGAGCTTGAAAAACACGTTTGTGTATGTCTCCGTCAATCCTGCCGCTTGGGAGATTTTAACCGTGGTGTCTGCCGTCTCAGGTACATGCAGTTTCACCCGCTCGCTTACATTGTCAAACTCAACATCGAAATGTCCATGGCCAGCCTCATCGCCAAGATCGCTCGGCAATCAGGACATTCTCACGGATCCGACTACAATACCAATACCGGCACGAGATCCCGAGCAACCCGAGCTGGCGATACTACATTGGCGAATAAAACACAAGATGGAGGAGAACGCCCCAAATCGAAGGCTTGGCCAACGGTCACTACCACTGTGGAAATGCATGTCATGGACGCAAAAGGGGCTCCGGCAACAAAGGCAACAAGTGGGTTTAGCCATGCAGACACCGACATGTTACTCGACGAAGCACCCTATTCCGTGCAGATTCAAGGCGCCTATGCCGAATCTTCCCAGGTGTCTCGGCTAGGTGCAGAGGGTTCTGTGAGCAGTCGTGGCTCTGGTCTGGATCCTGTGCCGTAAAATTATAAATATAGAAATAATAAATTATAACATAGAAATAATACAGTTCTCTTGTCGTAACCCAGATCGCTGTAAACTATGCGCTTCGTCAACTCTCCCCGGCCTTCTCAGCCTGCTCCACCCTTTACAGATGCTGTAACCTCAGAACTCTAATCTGTACTGGAGTTCATTTTCTTGCCCACTTTCTCGCCTGTAGAGTTCATTTTCTGACACCCTAGTAGTGTTCATTTATGCTCATCCAATTAAAACCGAGCACTTAGCCACATTTCCACCAGCTACATTTCCATCAGCCTATCAGCCACTACACTAGACCATCAGCTGCTCTCTGCTCCGTACGGAAGGCCCCTTCAAAAGTCATGTCCAGCGCTAAATGCGCCACATCCCTCAATCCCTGTGAGTTACCTGAGATACAAGGTGCGGAAACCAGCCACAATGAGTTAGCTACTACGTCCCCTATAGTTTTAGGGGCGATAAGGGGATTAGAATATTACATAGTGAAAACAGGCTGCTGTAAAATTAGTGGCCTTCAGTGGACGAGATACTAGAGGAAGTACTTGACCTAGCCACAGCCATCAGATTTCCCGTTTTGAACTAGCGCCAGGACATGACTTTTGAAAGGGCCCTCCGTACTTAGGTTATGAACAGGCAGCTCTGAGGAACTGCAGTTAATAACTCTCAATTATAAAAATGAACTGCAGTTCTTTGTCACGGCCCAGCCTCAGTTCAGCCGGTCTGTCGCGGCAGTAACGATTAACCCACTGTTATCTCAGCCAGTGAGGGCGCGGACCCACCCGGGACTGACGCCCTACTGGGACCAACGGCGGTCTAGGATCGACGGCGGTCCTTGGCAGACGGCGGTCCACTTAGTATATAAATAACGAAGTTACACTTTGATAGATAAGTAGTTTTTTAGCTATTAATATAACTTGATTAATTACATTAAGAACACCTTCTCTACTATTATCAGATGTAACTAACGTATATGATAAGCATGCGGCGTGTGACGGGAGCGTCTGGAGTGCTGGACCCAGGGTGGGGTCGATACGTAACTAGGGCGCACGGGGCAGGCCACAGGGACTATCAACGCGTCTACGCGTCTACGCGCCTGCCCGCTTTCTCTCTTTACTCTCCATCGTAGTATCCTCGCAATACTGTGGCATTACCTCTTGAGTTGATCTCATCTGGCCCGTGACACGGCGCATCCAAGTATGCGACGCACTTTTCCTAATCTTCAATACAAGAACTTAAATAAAGGGAATTGATAGAGACTGTCATGGGCCAGGGCCCATATCCTTGCGGCTATGCCGCAAGACGTACGAGGCTCGTGCACGCCAGGGACGGGAAATCGTTCCACAGCTCAGGGGCATTTGGGAACTTCTTTCTTTCTTCTTCATCTTTGATGTAAATAGCATCCTGGACTAGATAGCTGGAATCCAGCTACTAGAGGCCGTTCACAGGTAGCTCTTTTTTAAACTTCCAAGCTCAGTCACCGCCTCCCTTAAGGTCCGTTACTTGAGACTCTCATAGCTGCGCCTTTATTATATATCGCGCTTCAACATCAGCCCCCTTTCCTTCAGATTAAGGCTCCAAGATCCGCTCTATCCTGGCTCTAACTAAGCAGGGGGCGAACCAGCACTGTAAGATCAGCAGTAGTATGGTGCGACGAAAGCTTGTGTTTGATCGACCGGATGTAGGGCGGAGCTGCGAGAAGATCTTGTCCCACGTACCCGTGGGCTCGACCTACGGGGGCCCACTCTTCGAGTGGGCGGCAAAATTCTGGGACACTAGCATTATTCTGGGACAGCTAATTACGTACGCGTTTCTTATTTAAATAGAGAGATCAGTATATCAATCGCTAAAGCTCTTTAAGGGCTTTCTAAAGATCCTCAGTTTGTATATTTTTGACGTGCTGTTGTTGAGAAAAACGGTGTTAAAGTTGAGATTTTTCAATAGGATTGATTTGTCTGAGAGGAGCACTCTAAAATGCGATTAATACAGTCTGAAAGGGAAAATTGCGATCTTTTAGGTGATTCTTTTAAAACCTCTCCATATATCAAATTGGGTCATAAAGATTATAAATCTCTTGTCTGTTTTATTATATCTATTTTATTGATTTATTTATGGATTTTTAAAGCTTGGCCTCCTTTAGTGAGAGCCTCATACAAAAATGCTGTCCAGAATAATGCTAGTGTCCCAGAATTTTGCCGCCTACTCGAAGAGTGGGCCCCCGTAGGTCGAGCCCACGGGTAGCCCATGCGCTTGGACGACCGTGCTTCCCTCCCATCTTAACCTCAGGCTGCATGAATCACATGTAAATACAATCGTGTTTCGAGGAACGGGGGCGGGGTTGTGGATCATATTGGAATATCACTGGTTAGTTGGGGCTGGTGAGTATGGGCCGGGAAAGGCAGCGGCCGACACGGACCGAGGGAGGCAGGGAGGGGAAAATGGAGGAGCGCAGCCACGAGGGCGCCATCGGGCGAGGCACTTGGACGGGAACGGCGAGCGAGGCAGGATGGAGAGGGCTGAGAAAGTAGGACGAGTTCCATATGGCGGTTACAACTTCAGAACCTATGGTCATTCCAAGCCACGTCTTTGAGATAGCAGCCCTGCCTCCCAGAGCTGCTATTACTATTCCAGTAATTCCTACCTATTTCCTTAGTTGAAAGCTGGGTCTATTACATCAATAGCTGGGTCAGTCACCGTTCACAGACTTTTACATGTCATTAGTAGTTACACCACCACAAGGTCATACATCCCTTTCCCACCTGGATTGACCTGAAGACGAAGGTATGGCTAAGAGAAATCTTTATTTTCAGTCTCCTGCGAGATCGCCTGCGTTATCTCGAGCTCAATCTCTATGGAGCTCTCATGTATCCGCTTCCCGCCTTGGGGCCAGCTCTGGCTCCCAGTGATGCATGTCGTGACCTTTGCGAGATTGCGATCCGGCTGGAACCTGTCCATCCCCTTGGATGACGCCGACGGCACGCTGTCATGCTGACCATCTAGGCTTGAATCGGAGCGCGTCAGGCTAAAGAGCGTACCGTACAGTTCGTCGTTGCTCTCAGTCCTCTGTAAGGTGCGTCTCGATCGGTCACCAGGTCCGAGTTCACCGGGCCCCGTGCTAGCAGCCCCAGACCCCGGGTTGGGGTAATGCGTCTTTTGTGATGACGTCCCGCGGCTGCTGAGGAGCCCAGGGAAGTGGTGGGAAATGAGAGGCCGGAGCGTTGGCAAGCAGACACATGTCAGGGCGGAGCAGAGCTCACTGATAGACCAAGCAGCAGCCTCCACGTTCGTCCACGTGAAGTCCTGCGACAGCTTGAGGAAGCGAATTCGAACAAACGAGATAGCACAGGTCCTGGTGTTAGGGCGGGTGCGTTAGCCATAGGATGTGTTCACGATTCTGCGTTCCTCGGGGCAAGATACGTACAAGAAACCCAGGCAAAAGACGCCCAAGAGGATGATCTTTTGCCGGCTGGCAAGGTTGAGATTTTTTATGACGGGCAGAGGTAGAATGAGGACAATCAAGTCGGTGATGATGTTGCCTGTAGCGTTGACATACCAAGCCGGGAGGTTGTCTATGCAAGTGCCCTCGCCGGTCCAGAAGGCGGACACTGGGGTACAGGCGAAAATAGCGAGGAAGATCTGGGACGTGCTCCATCCACCTATGACGACTCCGGCGCCGATGATGACATTTCTGACCATCGGGCGAGCGAAGACTCGGTAGTACTGCAGCAGGAAGGTTGTCTTGATAGCTCCCATAGCTACGTTGTAGAATACTACCGAGATGTAGAATATCTGGTAAATTGGCACAGGTCAGAGCAGGACATCCGGTGAATTCTATGGGCTTCTTGACTCACCTTCAAGTACGCCCGGATCTGCTCCTCTGTGAGAAAGGCGACGTGCGTACCGAAGCCAAACCTCGTATCTTGAGGCTGTAAGGGCAGGGAAGAATGACGACGGGGTTGGATACTCACTCCATGCAACAAAAAATCCGCAGATAAAGACGAACACCTATCTAGCGTTAGTTGAAGAGGGGGAAGTAAAGTGGGAACATGGGGAGCCGCACAAAAGAGACGATACTGGCGTAATCGTCCATGCCAAACTGTGAGATTAAAACGGCCCTGGCGTAGACTCGCATGGCCACAGCGAGGAAGGCCACGAAGAGGACGCAGCTAACGACGGCAATGACGGTCGACACTTGCGAGTCGTTTGGAGACATTGAGGGCGAAGCACTCATGGTGGGCAACGAGCTCTCTCTCTATGGCTGAGGGGAGCATCAATGTAGGGTTCATGGGTGAAGGAACTAAACGTACCGATCTAGGCGAGTGCTTTTACCAAAGCAATACTCTGGTAGTTATCTGGTCGCATGGTGACTGAGGTGGCGTAAGCAGCTCACCCACCGTGATGAATTCGATGATGGGCTAACCCGAAAGTGTTGAAACCATTTCCGCACAGACAGTCCTTGTGGCGCATTGGGGCCAATACGGGTGTGTACGAAGTAGTGAGAAAGCAGTGCGTAAGGTACCTTTGTGTTGAGGGGCGTAACAAAGAGGACGCCGTGGCGCACCAGCTTCACCCTACCCCTGTTACACACTTGTCCCTTAGACTGCGGAGAGGCAACACTTGGGCTTGGCGTGTCACGGGCCAGATGAGATCAACTCAAGAGGTAATGCCACTGTATTGCGAGGATACTACGATGGAGAGGAAAGAGAGAAAGCGGGCAGGCGCGTAGACGCGTAGACGCGTTGATATTCCCTGTGGCCTGCCCCGTGCGCCCTAGTTACGTATCGACCCACCCTGGGTCCAGCGCTCCGGACGTTCCCGTCACATGCCCAGCAGGGTGGTGTTGACGGCCAGTGGACAGTGACACACGGATGGTGATCAGCAAGAGAGGGAGGACGGCACCTTACCAATCAGACAAGGAGGGGCTTTCAACACCCACGCATTCTGGGGCGGGGGTTGGGGTGGACCGGGCCTGGGGCCTGGCTGCATGGGCGCATGAGGAACCAGGGTTTCTCTGCGTGGCCGCAACGTGGCGCGGTGGAGGAAGCATCGAGCACGGAAAACAGTCTTGGGCAGTGGGCGGAATTCCTGGAGCCACGCGACTCCAAGGGAGGGAAGCCTGCCTTAGTTCTAGTAGCCCCGAAAGCGGCTTGAAGGCCCCGGCGTCACCACCGACTGCGGGCTGCTGGGAGCAGTTATACAACAGAGTACCTCTATACCTCGTCTTTACTAGGGCATTGGACTTGTCCACGCCGTTGTCATTTCATGGACAAAGGCGCAAAATCGGCCCCTTTCCATGGCCTGCCTTTTTTCCTTTACATGTGGTCCCCTCAGGGTCCCGTCTTGTCGGAATCAGTGTGGGTCTTTGATCATATTTCTGATTAGTAGTATTATTCTTCCCTCTCCACTCTTCCCTCTCTTCCCTCTACTCAAGGCTCCCCCTTCTACCCACCTTTCTCTGGCTCACAGAGTCACAGCACACAGGGAGCCAGCCAGGGTCCCTGAGGTCGGCTTCGTGTAATGTACCCGGCACGAAGTACCTGATACGGTTGGTGGCAGTCCACCCTCTCCACTCGCTCACCAAGCAACCGCTAAAAGACGCCCCCTAGCAGCATTAGCCCCCCCTGTTACACCACCAAGCCAAGTACCCGCTACCTGCCCGGGGTCCCTGCTGGCCTTGCCTCCTCTCAGCGCCATGACTCAAGCCCCTACTAACCTACTTTCACCACGCTCCGAGTTTTAAAGATGAGTGAAGCGCATCGCCTTATTGCCTCCTAATCATAGGCTAGCGATCTACCGTAGACGATGGTGCCGATATAATCGTTTCTAAGATTAGAATGCGAGGTTGCGGCACGTCGCGGGTGACGTCACAAATGCCAATTATATCTGCACTGCAGGTTGGAGCTCAGCAACTGGACGATACCCACGTCCTGACAAGGTTGTTAAGGTGAGTTATTATCCTTGATATAAAAAATTGCGACAGCATGTGATGAAGAGACAAGGATCCGTACTGATTTGCCGAGGTCCCAGGGAGATTGCTCCAAGCGTCTTGATACACCAATAGACACTTACTGCGTAATATTGATTGGTTCCGCGTCGTGATCCTTGCATCACTCTGATAGTTTAGGAGGCGAACTCACCAAAATCAAATTTTAGGGTGGGGGATATGATATATATTAATATATTAATTGTGACCGGAATAAGAATTTGTGGAGAAAGGCGTTGCCACCTAATATGTAATAAGTTATCTATTATGCATACAGGCGTGCCGTCATCCTCAACAAGAAAAGCGTCAGTGCCCTTCCAGCAGTAGAAGGTGGTATTCGAGCAGGTCAGCCAATCAAAGCCGCAGCTTGGTCGTCATTCGGTCGTCATCGCTCCCTGTTCATCCGTCCATCTCGAGCTATGTTGGCCATTGCGCTCATTTCTGAGCAGCTTTTCATGAGTGCGGAGACCGACAGGCAGTAGAAGACCACGCAGAAAGTCACCATTTATGACGTTACACTATCCCTTTTGCTTATCGCGATGCAACCTTTCGTCTCTGTTCCCGGTTTCGATTGGCATGGGCTTGCTTCCCTGCTGGCCTGCTAGAAGCGGCGGGGCACTCATCCCGGATACTCCTCTGTAGGGGTACTCCGTACTTACCTCACAAATAGTAGGAAGAAGTTGACCTTCTATTCAATACTCGAGGTGTCCGGGTGTCAAGCCCTTCGCTGTTGCCCCCTTTTGCTGGCCAGTCTTATTACAATGCTCCTGTTCTCACAATTGTAACTGCTATCGATATAAATCCCACTTGCAGCCGTGGGTGATAAACAATTACACATTTGTATTGCTCCGCGTGTCAGCGGCCCCGGACAAGCCCACAACTGATCTCCGTTTTCTTTAACCCCCTTTATACACAACCCCATTCGTTTCCTTCGCACGATCGATCCCAGCCAACCATTGTAGCAGAGAGGGCAGCACGCATATTAGATGCGGTGTCGGTTGACTCAGACCCTTCGCAGCCACATCCGTCCATTCACGTTCCGGTTCCGACGCTCCCGATGGTACTTCGGAGTAAAAGCAGCGGTGCTGTCATGCACTCAAAAGAAGACACCAGCGAGTATGTCAAAACAAAATTTAAGCCCGAGGATCGCCGGGCCATGAGCCCACGGAGATCAGGCGAGAATATTGAGGCGTTGATTCGTGAGCTGCGTGCTGATCTTAGCAGGTGGGCGTTGCCAGTTTCCTTCTGTGATAGATGTTTTTATATGGTTATTTTTGAGTTATCAGGAATAATTCAAGACAAGGAATGGCTGGCTGACGTATTCACTGCTGAAAATATAGGCATGCGAAGCTGTTGCGAGAGTCGCTAGATCTCACTCTTACCCGCATCGAGACTGTCAAGTCACTACATGACAAGCTGGATAAGGGCAACAAGCTCATGAAAACTTATATTGAGGATTTGGTGAGAGCGACTAAGCCCATGGCTTCGGGAGGCCACGAGATCTGAATATTTCGTGGCTCGCTCGGCTACCTTTCCTCATCCCAGTCACCACAGCATCGCCCAGTATAAGCGCGAGGAAGATGTTTACGCTGGCATCGGAAGTCTATTTTCGTTTGGACGCTTCATGCAAGCGGATGCGGTTGCGTAGATAGCCGGCGGTCGTGGGCTTTCACGAGGGACCTTGGTAAATCTTAGCTGCGGCTCGGGCACTGAGATTTCGGTCTTGTTTCACAGCCCAGGGACAGACATCTATCGAATATATCGAATCGAATACCGGGCCTTGCCATTCGATTCGATGGCTTGGCATTCGATTCGGGTGTAGCCATATATGATTCGACGCGAATCTAGTACGTCTCCTATAGATTCGATATCGAATCAAGCACCTGTCATTCGATTCGATGTCAAGATTCGATCGAATAGATGACTAATCCCCGTGAAGGTAGAGAACGTCAGAGGAAATGGTGACTTACCAATAAGAGGACCGTCTGACATGGAGTGATTCAAATCTAGTTTATGCAAGGGCAATAGGCAACACGAGGAAGCACATGAAGGGAGTATGTAACATAGCGGTAGGGCACTATCCCAAGAGTGCCCAAGGACCTCCAAGCCGTACCTCGCCCCAGGACTGCTACTCTATCACAAGAGAGTGACTCTTTACACTCTTTACACTCTTTACACTCTTCTAGGCGAAAGAACGGGTTGGCGCTGCCGTGAGCGTGGCACCGGGAGATGGACGCGACCGCCGAGGAGATCCTGGTCGCGGGTGGGGATTCGGTGACCGCTACGCGTCGCTCGTCGAGACCCGTGAAACCAACCGCGAAAGCCCAAAAGTTTTGGCAAGTAGCCTCAAGCCAGGCCGGGACATCTAAGAATGCCGGCACAAAGCAAGTGGCAGCAGGCGACAACGACTGGGACAATGCGGACGAGGGACTGCAGGCTGTGGATGGCACAGCCCGCAGCGATTCATCGCTAGTTCAGGAGATGCTCCAGACGATGCTACAGACGATGCTCCAGGAAACGTCGAGCCATCTCATGAGCAAGCAGAAACAAATGCTGGAGAGGCTCTGGGATGCCTTGATGGAGAACCACCGAAAAGCGACAAAGGTGATGAGCGATCAGGTGGAAATGATCCGACAACTCCAGAAGGAGATTCGCACAACCAGAGCCGAGGCAGCCGAGGAGCGGAAGAAGACAGAAGAGCTTAGGCGTATGCACGAACAAACGGCCGATCAGCTCAGGGCCATGCGAGAACAGGGAGCGTAAGATCACAAGCAGCTGCGCAAGCAGATAACCGAGCAGATAACTGAGCAGATGAACGAGCAGCTCGGGCAGGTACGGAAGGAAGCGGCGGAAGAAATGAGACAGCTACGAGAACAGCTGGACCTGATGGCCAGAAGCATCACAGCCAAAAGTGCCCAGACAAGCCCACAGCCATCGTATGCAGACGTAGCCCGCACCCCACCGATGAGCCAGCCCAGCAATGTTCGAACTCTCTCATCTCTGCGAACAACGCCATCCGCGTTTACCGATACTCTCTTCTGCACCATCGACACATCGCGCGTCAACGAGGAGGAGAAGGGCAAAGCACAAGTGGTAGGAGTCCGACAGGCCATCGAGGAAGAGATGAGGAAGAAGGAGGGCCGACAAGACTGGAGGTGTGCAGCCGTGGTAAGAGACGCAAAGAATGCAGACCGTATTAAGGTGATCTGCCGAGACGAATCTGAGATGCAGCTCGTTAGAGAGGCGGCAGAGAAAACAGCAGTCAAGGGCGCAAGAGTCCTGAGGGACCAACTGTATCCGGTCAAAGTTGACGGTGCGAACAGGACAGTGGTACTGGACTCAGCTGGCAACGTGCTGCCAGGCGCGGCGGAGGCGCTGGGAAAGGAGAACGGCGTGACGATTGCCAAGATGCACTGGCTCAGCGACAAGGAGAATGGGAAATCCTACGGCTCGATTGTAATCTACGTCATGAAGGCAAGCGATGCGCAACGCTTACTAGAAGAGAGATACTTTCACCTCGCTGGGGAGTCGGCCAGCACCAACGTTTTCGAGCGACGCCAAGGCCGGTCCAATGCTACAACTGTTGGGAGTCGGCGCTGAAGGCGATCGCGCGACCGCGACAACAATCGGGACAGTGCACCATCCGGGAGATCTACAACCACATCCGACGGCTGGGAAAAGGCAACAACAGGGTCAAGATGATCTGGGCACCATCGCAGAACGACGAGTTCCCTTTGGGACCTAAGGCGAAGAGACAGGCCCAGAGAGCAACTGAATCGGGGCGCGCGGCAGAGACGCAGCCATACCAAGCTCGATCGACACGAACAAGACTGGCAAGAGAGCAGCTACAACAAGACCAGACGCTACCAGACAGAGTAGGCGGCTTCTCCAAGAGGATCGACAGAGCGCTACCGGGGAATCATACGCAGGCATTATACGACGGGCTGAAGAGGCGCGAAGCAGCTACGCTCTCGCAGCTACGCACGGGGATGGCGAGGATCAACAGCTACCTGTCGAGGATCGGCGCGGTGGAATCAGACTTGTGTGATTGCGGCCGGGCAGTCGAAACAATGGAACATTTTCTCTTTCGATGCACCAAGTGGGATGCACAACGCGAACGCATGCGGCGAATCGGACAAAGCGAGATGGGAAACCTCTCATTCTTTCTGGGAGGAAAGTCGGCGTTGGACGGACCGAGATGGTCACCTAACCTACAGCGGTGCGAGCAACAATCAAATTCGCGATGGAGATAGGAAGACTAGGGCGAAGGGAGGAGAATTGAACATACGAACAACCAGAACTAGAAAATACCAACACAACACAGCCTCATTTTGACAGACCACGCTTCAGCTGCTGAGGATAGGATGCTGAACACTTGGAGAAATTGGCCTTCAAGCCGGCCTGTCAGAAAGAGTCAAGCGAGGCCAAAAGAAAGCGATCCAGGGAGAGAAAGTGGGGCTTTACTTTGTGGTCAGGATTGAAGGTGGCAGAAATGTAAATAGCATAGCGTGTTCCATGGCCCTATGAGATCCGTTCTCCCGGGCGTAATAAATCTACTACTACTATTGGGCCCCATCACTTAATCCGGTAATTTTGCCAGGGGGGGATTTTGGGAGTGAAAAATCCCAGAGCTTAAGAAGACCTTTCGTACCGAATGGCATTGGCCCAAAAAAAAAAGGAACTGTACCCCTGTCGAGGAAAAGGGACTCTACAGGGATTATCAGGGTTAGGAAACGGAACTCTACTCCAGTTCGTTTTAGATTGGTTAATGTAGGATGGATGATGAAGATTGTTCTTTGCATAACTCCTTCAAGTCTTGTTTCGACGCTTCTCCTTGCGCTTGGGCTCGCACGACGTCTTACACCCCGGGCACTCGAAGCCGTGCCGGGAGATGTAAACGCGGACGAGACAGCGATGGCATCGCCACCAGGTGGACGGGAGATAGCGGCCCTCGAGCCAGTCCTCGTTGACGGTATCGCCGCGCTTCTGGATGTCCTCGCGGTGGAACTCACGCAGGTGGTCGCGGAAGTGATCGCGGCGGTGGAAAGGCTCGCGGGAGCGGGTGCACTGCGGGTAGTCGCACCAGTAGCTGTCCTTGAGCGATTCCGGCGCGTGCGTGTTCCTGTAGTGCCTCTGGAGATCGGCGCAACGCCTGAACGGGCGTGCATTGCAGCCGGACGAGAGGCAGAAGACGGGCCAGTCGCGGCCGGGAGCGCTGCTGGAGAATTGAGTCAGTATTGGTTGGAACATAAGAACAGAGGGAAACGCGCGCTTCGCTCCAGGGAGTGACGGTGTCGTCTATGTTGGACGGGGCAGAGGTGAGATATTGGTGTTGCTGGTAGGCGGGATCTCCCATGGTCGAGTCGTGGAGGGTGTACAGATCCAAGGGAGAGTCGGGAATAGAGGATGTCTGAGAGCTTCCCGACGAGCTGGGGTACCGGGCGAGAGATACGGACTGGTGATAGTCGAAAGGATCCGCAGATGGCGACCCATAGTCTTGGGGTGGTGAAGCCTCATACCAATGGGCGTAACCATAGTTGGATCCCATTTTGTAACAACGACGCGTTGATAAGTCAAGCACCCATGTAACCGACCCCCCCTGGTAACCGACCCATCTGTAAAATTCAGAAAATCCATCGATCTATTTACGATATTTCAACACAACTTCGTCAAATAAATAGCTAAAAATGCAGAGGAAAAAGTATTTAAAAGTCTCTCAATCGTTCTCTTCGCTACTAAAATCATGTCTAATATACCTTTTTGTAGACCGCCTGATGCGGGTTGATCGGCGCACGGGGGCCGGATCTTTCTCCGACTCAGAGCTACTCTTCCCATCCACCACAATACAATCAATATCACCTTTCTGTGACTAATAACGTGTTGGTCAGTCTCGTGATTGGTCTCTGCAAGTATCTGTGCGAGGCTTATCAAGCATTCATTCGGATCCTGCCCGATTTTACGTTTTTTCTTCAGTTGCACCGCTTCAAACTGCGCGCGTAACCGCTCAATCTTATGGTCCTTCATCGCGAGCTCGATTGTAACCTTATCTAACGCCGCAGCCGCTTTCCGAATTGAGAGCCCTGAAGAAGTAGAGCTGCTTTTGCAGAAACCAGCTTTACAATGTCGCCATCACGTTTCGACGTTGCGATATCGTGGGTTTCTGAGGGAGGTAGTGCCGACTTCGTGAGCACCATTACCCAACGTGAAGCGAGCGGTTTGTTTATATTCACAGGCTACAAGCCAGGTACCCGCCATCCAGATCGAATATTTTCCTTCCGGAGACCCATTTCGCAGGCTTTCGTATAAAAATCGAGAAACCTTTGCTTCCCAACCCGGGTAGAATCCGTCAGAATGGTATGCTCGCCAACCAAAGTACGGTACGCCGCCTTCAGACTAGAAAAGCAACCAAGATCTAAGGGCTGGAGTACATGAGAATAATATGCCGGTAAAAAGAGAAGATAAACATTTATTCAGGTAACACTTGGCCATGAATTCCTCGGTTGCATGCGAGCCGTACCGGTACCCCCCGAACCGTCAAGGTGGTTAAATAGTTATCCAGCTATCTAACGTGTACTCGACGTGTTTATTTGTCTTATAGATACCATATACGACATCTCTCCAAAGATTACCTGTCTCCCTCCCAATTTCCCAGCTTAGACAATCCTTTGGGGCTCAAGATGGGCATCGGAATTGCGTTGCTGGGCGCTGGCATTTTTGCGGTTGAGCGTAAGTAGCACCATTGCGCCCTACGTATACTACTTCGACGATCCAGCCCCTCCATCTGACACATTGTCCAGACCAACTTCCAGCAATCAAAGCGTGCTCGTCTCTTTCGTTGAAAGCCATCTACTCTAGGTCTCAAAAGACAGCAGAGGATGCCTTGAAGGATGCAGGCGAGGATGTGGACATCTACTTCGACTCGTTGACTTCCCCATCACAGAGTCTCGAGGCTTTACTCAATCGCGATGATATCAAAGCTGTGATCATCGCAGTCCCTATTCTTGCCCAACCCCATCTGATCCGAAAAGCCATGGCTGCGGGCAAGCACATTATGAGCGAAAAACCCATTGCCAAAGATGTTGCAACTGCTGAAGATCTTCTGACGTTTTACCAACCCTTTTCAAAGAAAGTCGTGTGGGCTGTTGGCGAGAACTTCCGATTCTGGCCATCAGTCAGCAATGCTTTCCAGATATTGCAGGAGTCCATTTCAGAGTTGGTGACCTTCAGCGTAAATTTCTACACGCTAGTTGACCAAGCAGACAAATATTTGGAGACTGAGTGGTAGGTTTCCATGTAACCCGGTCAAGCCTCAAACGAATTTTAGAAGGCATAGACTGACATTCTCAGGCGTTCTACACCAGGCTATCAGGGTGGCTTTCTCCTTGATGGCGGTGTTCATTTCGCTGCTATCCTACGCTATCTTCTCAGCGCGCTGGGGCAGAAAGTTACCAATCTATCAGCTTTCACGGCCCTGCTGCAAGAAAGGCTGCCGCCCGTCGATACAATCCACGCCGTCATGGAGATATCCAATGGGCGGAACGGAACATTCGGCGTCTCCGTTGGAACGAAGTTCAGGGATAACTTCGAAATTAACGTTGTTACGGATACATGCAGTGTAACGATCAGGCCCACTGAAGTTGTCACTACGACCAAGAACGCGTCAGGTGAGGAACAGGTGTCCAAACACGAGTTTGCAAGGACCTTTGGTGTCGCAGAAGAAATAGTAGCATTCGCGGAAGCTTTTGAGGGCAAATGTTTGGACCCGAGGTTGACGCCTGAAGCAGCCCTTGGCGACCTCAGATTAATTGAAGCTATGCTACGGTCTGGAGAAGCTGGCGGACAAGTCCAGGCACTTGATTAATGAAGCACCGCCGTTCACGCAGGTATGGGGTAGGCCATTCCAAAACCCACTGTCTGTCACAACTTCAACTACACACTGCCGAACTGGCCTTACAGGTAGTCTAGAACGCGGGTGAAGCACAGCGGCTAGGCATGTCAATCAGGTTAAGGGGAGGCTGATCAGGGGTAAATAGGAACAGAATAGAAGAATGGAGCCTTAGAGCGGCATCATGAGAGCCACAAGGGTAAAATTATGACATGCTTCAGTCATTGGTGATACATCTCTTTAGTTCGAGGTGGTTTTCGATACACCAAGTCATTAGCAACGACGCAGAATCGCAGAGGCTGGCCAACGATACTTAAGCTGTGTATTCGAACTAACGAACTAATAAGTTGATGAGTTAATGAACTGATTGAGGCTTTAACTACCCTGATAATATAATTAATTAACGTGTTTCATAAGCGAGTGAGCCACCTCTAAATTCTATACAAAATGCCGTTTTCGACCCCCTTGCAAAAACCATCAGGATCTAATCAAACTTAACTAAAAGTTACTTGTATATTTGCTGTAGTATAGCAATAGAGTATTATTTTTCTGAGATTTTATATAATTATTTTTGAGAAGTTATTCTAAAACTTCAGTATAAGGTATTCTTATAAACAGAAACTTAAAATATCTCCATAAATAAAATTATATAAAGTCTTAGAAAAATATTAAGCTGTTATTATATTAAAGTAAAATATACAAGTAATATATTATTAATTCTTATCAGAAACTTATGGTTTTTACAAGGGGGTTGAAAACGGCATTTTGTATGGGATTTAGAGGTGGCTCACTCGCTTGGGTGGCTCACTCGCTTGTGAACCACGTTAGACCAGAAGGTGATTTGTTATATTGATTAGGTGACGCCCTGCAAATAGTTGAGCCGCAATTGTCAACGTATCCATGGTTCAATCGCTGAACTGAGAGGATCTTACAAGCGGTGTTCAATTTGTCTAACTTCGTATTGGTCTGCTACAACGTTGAGAGAATAAAGTCTCGTCTCACGACCATGGAACCGTTGCTCCCGTATCATGGGATTGTCGGGCAAGTTCCATAATACGAATTCCCTCTCGCGATTGCTGAGCCTCAACCTGAAGAGGTCCCTTTCCACGAATGGCATCAACAACATCCTCATAATACCCGCGAATTCTCCCGGTGATGGTAGGGTATCTGCCGACATACTTTTTGTGCTCGGAATCGTATGACTGGGTCTTGTCGAATTCGGCGTATGTCGTGAGCAAGCCGTGCAAACTTACATCCTCCACACCGAATTTCGGATCGTCGGAAGCCATACCCACGATGGATTGCGCTTCTTGGATATCTGTTCCATGCTGTCCACAACGATTAGATCGGGGGGTTTACGTCGTGCATTCATAAGTACCTTGATGTATGATCCTTCAGTTCCGCGAACAAAATAATGCAGCTGTTCCTTCATGCATGTGGTGATGGTAGTTTTAACTGTGACCAGCAGAGGGCTGTCGTATAGGAGGACGATGGTAAAGGTGTCTTCAACCTCGCTATCCGCGCCTCTCAGATCCCGCAGAATGGCTGTCACGGATTTAGGCCTTCCGAAGAGCACCAGTGCTTGGTCAATCGAATGGGAACCTATGGATGCTTATCAGCGGCTATGGGTATTGAGATGTCTGCAAACAGGTGGCTTACCAAGTCCAAACATCATACCGTCCCCAGGTGTGTACTTCTTGGCATCCATGTAATGAAGCCAGGGTGGATTTTCGAAATCGTAGTGGATCTCAGCCTCAGTAATCGTTCCCAGCGCATTCTTCGCGAGTAGGTGCTTCAGCGTCATGAAATCTCCGTCGTAACGTCGATCTATCCGCAGATTGGTTATTGCTACACTGATTATCATCTAGGGCAGACTACTTACTTTGAAACACAGTCAAATACTTGCCCTTCTCTTTCGAAAGCGCAATAAGTCGATCAGCTTCTTCGCTGGACGTCGTGAAAGGCTTCTCTACCACAACTATTGGCAATAATTAGAACGCACACACTCTCCAACAAATTTATGACAAACGTAAAGACTCTGCCCCTACCATGTTTGCCAGCTCTCAAAGCCCTTTCTGCGAACTCGGAGTGCGTGTTTGTGTGAGTGCAGACAATGACAAGTTCAATATTTGGGTCTGCGAAGAAGTCTTCAGCAGTTCGGCAATGCTTTGCTTTCGGAAAATCAACAGTACAATGGGCACCGGGTTTGGCCGCAGATGGGTCCGAAGGAGCTTCCGAGCGTTGAAGAAAAGCGTAGACTTCTAGGTCTGGATTGGGCAAAATGTACGGCAAATGGAAGAAGCGAGCTGAACCACCATAGCCTACGAAACCAAGCTTGATGGCAGACATTTTGAAAGATAAAATACAGAAAACTCTCTCGAAGGAAGCAAAGGATACGCACAGAAAGTGTGACAAGGACCGAGGGAAGAAGAAGGCATCTCTATAATGTACTCCGTGTCGCGTCACTGGATGGGATGTGGAGATATTTGGTACAAGGGCACGTGGATCCCGGCTTCACGGGTAAAGTTCCTGTCCCCAGCGGCATCTGTCGGAGCGCATGTGGCTTACACCCGACACTCCGACACTCCGACACTCCGACTACCCGGGACCCGCGACCTGGGACTGTCTCAGCACTTGATCGGATACGCTTAGCCAGCCTATTGGGATGATGCTGTCATGCGTCGACTAGTTGGAATGAGCGTCTGCCTAAGCGCAGTTATATAATGAAATACCGACCCAGTTCTCTTTGGGAGTTGTTGAGTCGAGGAAGTACAGGTGAGATTTCAGTGTCGCATTTGCAGCTGACTATTACTCGCAATGCCTTTGCCTTTCGTGTTTCCTGCATCTGAGGGCCCAGGGCGCCTGACAGAGATTGCCAGCTTTAAGAAAGCGCCGGTAGACTCCTCTCGAGTAAGTCGTGAAACACCCTTGGTTTTAATGACAGAATATAACACAAGCCCTACCAAGCTTCAAAATGTCATCACCTCCGCTATGCAGGCAACTTCAACATTTCCCGCTTTCCGACAATGTCGCCTTGGAGATTCGGTCACAGACAATGGCAACACTGTGCTGATTTTTGACTGGACTTCGGCGGTTGAGAAAAAAGAGTTTGAAGAAGACCCCAACAGTAAGAAAACATGGAGCAGGTTCAACTGCACTGTCGTCAGCAACTTAACCAAGCCACAGATGCGTCATTGAAGTCCGCAATGGCTTCTTGGGCAGAGATTATCGATGAGAAAAACCCGTCAATGATCCGGTGAGAGGAGACTCCTTGAAATTAATATGAAATCTCGAGACTCCTACTGATCATCGCTAGCTACCATATCACCTTGCTCGGGTCATCGGTCACTCCTCAATGCGGGTATTATGAGGTCGCAGTACTAACTATAGACCCTTCTCAGCACGAAGTATTCGCAGCCAGCATGGAGAAATACAGCAATGGAATTGGCGACAAGGTCTTCAACTACCTAGCCGTTGCCGTTTCGGACGAAAATCCGGAGAAGCTTGTCATTATAATGGGTTATCCGAATACAGCGAGTGCAGAACACGCGGACAAGGTTAGTGCCTAGCTCTTATGAAAACTTACATCCATTGCTTATTAATTCCGCAGAGCGATCAACATAAAGAGGCAAAGAAGGTCAACGATCCTTTGGTCAAAGACTGGTGGAAGAGCGGATCACACATGGAACAAGTTTTTAAACGAGCATAGATAACAAGGTTTCCACGTTGGAATCCAGGCATCTTTATTTTATGGCTGGATGAATAATGCGAATTTGTACTAAAAGACGCCCTTGGCGGCCTCCCGCTTCATATACCAGTATACATAACTAGACTTGTCCCTGATTTTGCGAGTAAGAGGTTGCTTGTGTATTGCCTATTACTCAATCGCCTCCTTTTCTCTTGCTCTCTCATAGTCGCATTTGGAAAGGTAGATTTAGGAGTGTCAACCATTCCCTCTTCCTCGGGGTTGTCCGAAGTGCCTTTTAAATCTCATGAATGCGTAGTGCAACTGCGGGTGGTATATTGGAAGTCTGTTGACTGCATAGGCAACCTTTAGTGAGTCATAAATGCCCTGATTTACAGGAATGTGCGCTTTACTAATAGTATCACTATGTACGCGGAATTATGCTACCAGCTGGGAATGGGGGATTTCTTTAGCCCATCGCCTTGTAATTCCAGTTGTCAGCTTCCCAGGGTTCATGATGGCCCCGGAGAAGTTAAACTTATTTCCAAGGCATGCCCATTATATCCAGTCCTTAAATGAGTCAATTATAAAGCTGCTGCAACCATCTCTACTAGAGTTATTATTGCCCTCTAAGTATCGAAAAGGACTATAATACTTATTCGCTACCAATCTCGCTATGTTGAACCATGGGCTCATTATTCTTCTCACTGTTCTGCATATTTGTAAGTGCGACGTCCTGCTTAGCTAGGGACGTTGCCTTTTTCCAGGACATCCCTTTACCTCCTTCGTACTGGATCTCGAAGAGTCTGTCAATCTCCTCCAGGGACAGGCCGGCAGTCTCAATATAGAAGTACCAGATCAACGGCAGCCAAGCGATGTTAGTCACAGCGAAGATAATATAAAATTTCCAGCCGATGCTATCAATACCTATAATGAACTGTTATTAGGGAACTTTTCTTGGTTTCAAACGAGCAGGGCTCCTTGGAGGTGAATACAGCGTCGAAGATTATAATTACCACATGGAAAAAGGACACGTACCGATTGGGGTAATGAGTACAATCACGTAGACAAAGATCCAGTTTGTGATCATGGCAATTGAGCTACCCACGTTCCGCATGCGCTGGGAGTTTATCTCCGAAGGATAGCAGAACGGGATGGACAGGAAAGAGAGGCCCTAGAGAGTCAGGTTAGCCGGATCAAATACAATATGCTGAGCAACACTAAAGGAGAGAGATCTTACAAAAAACACGTGGTAGAGAAAGATAGCCGTGACAGCAACAGCTTGAGATGCTTTCGTTCCAACCCCCAATCCTGCAGCAGCAATGGCAAAACAGATCCCCTGAGCAAAAGCGCCTATGAGCATCAGCCTCTTACGTCCCCACTTATCGATAACAAGCATGACTAATCCTCCCCAGATCATCAGTGATATGAAGTCACATGCGGAGAGGATTAAAGCCTGTCGACTATTGAAGTCAAAGGAAACCGTTAGAATGACTGGCATATAGTAGACCACGACGTTAATACCGCCCATCTGCTGCATGAGCGAAGTTCCAGCACCTAGTGCGATTCGGCGGAAGTTTTGTTGCGCCCCGCTAGAGAAGATATCACGCCAGCCGACCTGGGCAAGCTCTCTCTCATGGGCAATGGAGGAGGCAATCAGCCGGAGGGACTCAACTACCGATGGGTCATCGGCTGGCTTTGCCAAGAGTCGACCAATGATGGCCTGCGCTTCGGTATGTCGATCTTTGGTGCACAGCCATCGAGGAGATTCGGGCATGCAAGCAAGAAGCGCTATAGCGAGGAGGGCAATCAAGGACTGGAATGCAAGAGGGAACCTCCAGCTGACATGACTGTCAACAACGTAAGTGAACCCCAAATTCATCCAGTTGGAGAAAGCGATGCCTCCGATGACGACGGCGAGCTGTATAGCGATAAGTTTGCCGCGATGCTCAGGTTTGCACGTCTCGCTTTGCCAGATGGGCACAGCTACTGAGTTCATGCCAACGCCTAGGCCGGCGGCTATTCGGCCAACGATCATTTGAGCGAGAGAGTAGGAGGAAGACTGTATAATGCCGCCAAGGGCGACGAAAACGCAACCCAGTGAAATGGTTTTCCGTCTACCTAGGATGTCGCCAACGAATATAGTCAGGAGGGCTCCGAGGATGCACCCAAGGTCGTAGGTTGAGACAATCTGGCCCTGGATCATAGCTGACGGTTGGTTGAATGCTAATTGGAATAATGGATGCTGGAGAATGCCGCCAAATACTCCTTGGTCAAATCCGAAAAGCATAAAAGCAGTTCCACATGTTGAAGTGATGCCGACAGTTAGGGCACGGCCTTCAAGCTCGGTGATCCACATGATGAAGGTGAACAGTATCAAAACCGTATCTCAATATGAGGTGTTGTGGCAAGAAGAATGAAGTTTAAAGAAAGGAAACAAGTTCGGTGGAGTACAGCAATAGGACGTTTTTAGGAACGAATGCCGCTATTATATATCTAGGTGAGTATCAAAGCATCTCTTGATGGTTGTTGGCTGGGATTGGCTACAAACTCTACCGAAGTAAATAGCGAATATCCGATCCCCGCGCGGGGACCCCGCACGATCAACGAGGAATAGAGATCGGCCAATCTTAGTTTCTCGGTTCATTGCTCGCTAGGCGGCAATATCTACCCGCAGCATATAACCGACTCTGGTATGATTCCGCTCGGCACTCATCAAGGGTTGCTAATCAGGGGTCAACAAATCGTTCTGCAACTTAGTCTCTTACATCAAACGTACGTCCACATCACAAGTAACTGCTAGAGGGCCAATACTCGACACGTTGTGGTTCATGGAGATAAACTGTTAATGTCACATTTCGGGGTCATTTCCTAGACAACGCGACCCTCCTTTCTTCCTCAGACCACATCGCCGGCCCTGTGACCACGATCCCGGTCCCCGGGACCCACAGGGCCCCGGCCCCTGTGCGGCGGCGACGGACTGCCGCCTCCGGTAGCAGCCGTCTTCATCATGTATAAAAGACGGGCTCTAGGCCCGTCCCTTAGCTAGAAATGAAGAGCTTTCATCATCATCATCGTGATCCTATCCATTCAGTGTGACAGTTAACAATGCTACTAATACGTGAAGTTTTAGAATAGATGAGACTTTTTACAATGATGAAGAGCAGAGGTGCGAACCACGATGGCTGAACGACAACTCTTACATGCTTCGCCTTGTTCATATTGGACCCCAAAAGCCGCCTGAATGAAACATTCTCAAGGGCTTGTAGATAAACCGTGAACCTCAAGTATTCGTCCGTGTAGCAAATTCTGCCTCTCGACTTTCTCTCAATGAAAATGGAATCATTCGAGTTGTTGAGCAGTGGCTATCCTCTATGGCTCCGCGCATGGCGTTCTCACGGCGGATTCAAAATGTGATGACTACCTTGATGCAACAAACTTTCGAGTGGGTTAACTGCGAGATCGACCCCGAGCTTGTTTGCTTCACGCGGCCTTGGCTCGGCTACTTCGCTCATCACTACCTTATAAGCGCCCTCGGGACTTCAGTAGCCAAAGCAGAGCCGGGTCGATCAAGCCGACGCCTCAGATGTCCATGTCTTGGACTATCCTGAATCCAGGTATTCAGATCATATTCTCATATGAGAGGCGACAGCTAAAAACTCAGCCAGCCCCCTTACGTCCAACCATGCTCCTTTAGGAAGCGGTATACAGCTAATTAGATTGACCACAATCACATCGACAAATGCTCCTTCCTTGCTGCCAAGGCCGTAACACGCCCAGTCATTCACAGCATATCCATGATGCATGGAGATGCAGAGGAAAAGCAAGGCCCGCATACCTGACTTGCCATAGATTTCTTTCTGTTCCCACACTGAACGTCCATCATATGCAGGCTGGGATGCTTTGGTCATATTTTGGCTACCCTCAATATGTAGGGAGCTATCTTCGTTTTTGGCAGTGTTTTCTTTCATGTTGGCCGTTTGTTCAGCAAGTTGAGAGAGGCAATAATCGCTGTTTCTGGGGAACTCTGAGTTGATGCGCGTACCGAATAATAGCGACCACGCATCCCCGCATGTATTAAGGCAAGAAAGTCCGAATGGGCCAGAACGCGAGGTTGGATTCCGGGGTTAAGATGGGGAAACAGAATGAATGGCTGGGTATTCCGTCTTGAGTCAATAAACCCAAACGTGATCCATTATCCGGAGGTAAAACCACCTAATCAAGCCCAGGCTCTAGAATCTTGTCATATTATGCGTCTATCAATGGCGATCGGGTGCATTCCATGACCGTTGGGTGCTACAACTTATCACCGAGACGGAAATCCGGTGACTTGGCGTGGAGGCTGAAGCTATCAACAAAGCCGTCGAGGTCAATGAACCGACTTTGGCACGAAAGCTCACGTCATCCCGGAAGAGGATTTGCAGATTTCATTGCGAGAAAGTTCAACATCATGGCGGGCGTCTGTTACTGAGATACTATGCGCAAGGTGGCGTGGGTTTGGGAGAACCACTTGAAGCTGCCTTTATTCTATTCAATACTAAGATAATGACTGTCCTATCCATTCTGTATTTCCAAGTGGCCTTCAGGGAGGTAGTTATATAGGGTTCTAACACTTATCTGGGAAGCCGAAATCAACGCCAAATGGTGGATATACATAGCGGGTGAAGCCCTTGGTCCTCTTGCAAGTCTCGATAACATTATTGACTTCCTCGAGATCTGATTCATCCATGTCCACCAGGTTCCTATTTTCTTCGACTCGACTAGGCGAAACAGACTTAGCCAGCACAGAGCGGCCGCTGGACACTATAAGGCAACATGGAGTTAGCTTCTGTAGACAGGAAGACGGCGAGCATACGCACCATGCCAGCTGAGTAATATCGTGGCAGGCGAGGTATTTTTCTTCTCTGCTAGCCTTTGAATCGTCGGAAGCTGTAGAAGCGGGCCGCCTGAACTTCCAAGAGGGCTATAGGCAGTGACGTGTATGCCCTTCTCGCTGCAGAAATCGACGATTTCTTGCTGGGGTAACAAGGGATGATTCTCGATCTGATTCACAGCAGGGACGATAAAAACTTTGGGAAGGAGTTCCTCGAGATATCGGACGCTATAGTTTGCGACGCCGATGGCCTTCGTCTTGCCCGTTGTCAGGAGTTTCTCCATGTCCATATAGGTGTCGATGTGTGATCGTTCAGGGGTCACATCGCGCGAACCGTCAGGGCGCTTCGGAAACCTTTCGTCGTTTCCTGGATATCGGGTCAGTTAATGAGATTCTAATACCTTTACCTCCAGTCATCAAAATTTCGAATGTTGATCACCGATCTACCCATTGTCCCTTTGCACGGAACAAAAGCCTGGACTGTGACATCGGCGCTTACCGTTTGGATTCATAGCAACCGGCCAGTGCAACAGGTAAAGATCGACATATTCAAGACCCAATGCCTTCAAGCTGAGGTCTAAGTTCTGTTCAACCCGGTTGTGGTATGTGCACCAAAGCTTGGTGGTCACGAAGATGTCCTCCCGTTTCACTTTGCCCGAAGCGAGGGCGGCCTTGAGGACCTGACCAACCTCATCTTCGTTGTCGTAACAATACGCGGCATCGATATGGCGATATCCAACTTCAATGGCATGTTCAACAGCTTTTTGGACTTCCCCCGGCTTGGACTGCCAGGTACCTATGGAGCATACGTCAGCAACCTGGCCGTGGCGCGCGGCCCGTGCAAGTGAAGTACCTAACCCTATCGCAGGAATCTGCGCTCCAGTGTTCAGTTTGAATTTCGGTATCAGAGTGGACATTGCAGTGATTTCAATTGGAAGATCAAGGGGGTCTTGCAGGCGGCCCAGGGCAGTTGTTGAGAGGAAGTCAATATGTTCTGTTTGGGTTCGATCGAGCACAGATAGAGGTTATTTATTTGCTATGGATCATGAATGAGGGCCACTCAACCTCCTTATGCAGCTTCTACAGGCCCAATGGCAGAAGAATGCCCGACTCATACGGATGGATGGATGGATTTTATTTCGCCCGGAGGGAAGTCCCTATAGGGCCTTGACACAATCTAGTTCACATTTCAGTACATTTGATACCTGACACCCCAAGCCCCACGGATCGTCGTCTCATCGCTTGCTGCTCAACCTCGTCGCTACTTGTTCCATGACAGGCCTGCTTGAAGGCCAAATTCTGCAAGTGTTCAGCATCCTATTCTCAGCAGCTGAAGCACGGTCTGCCAAATTGAGGCTGCATTTTGTTAGTATAATCGCACGCTAGAGGTTAGTTTGCCGATGGCTGCTGGCCCGCATCGAGCCTGTTTGTCGCGATAGCAAATTTGATTGCCGCACGCACGGCCTGCATGTTTGGCTTCCACTTTTCGTCGTCCGACGCAGTTTTTCCTCCCAAGAAGAACGACAAATTCCCAATCTTTGTTCGTGAGCATTTAAACATGGCTTCCCGTTGCATTGTCCACTTTTTGCATCGGAAGAGGAAGTGCTCAATCGTCTCTGCTGCTTGTCCACAATCGCATATGTCCGATTCCGCTGCCCCTATCCTGTGAAGATAACTGTTCAGTCGTATCATCCCAGTCCGAAGCTGGGCTATCACGTCCGATTCTTTTCTTTTTAGTGAGTCGTATAGCGCACGGGTGTGCTTGCCCGGCAGCGCCTTGTCGATGCGCTTCGAGTACTGTCCAACGCCTTCCGGAAGTCGCCCACACTGCCGTTGTTGGAGGAGCGCCAGTCGAAGTGTTGTAGACCTTGCTTGGTACGACGGTGTCTCTACCATGCACTCTGCTTTGGTAGCTCTCTGCGCTGCTGCCTTGGCCATCGGTCCCAATGCAAAACCTTCGGCCTTAGCCGGCACCCACATGACTCTAACAGAACAGCCTCTTTTCCGACGGCACTTGGTGCGGTCGTATATCTGACGGATAGTGCATTGACCGGATTGCTGCCGAGGCTTCCTGATCACTTCCACGGCCGAGCGGTTGCTCGTCATGACCGTTACGTCCCGAAAAGGAAGCCTGGGCGGCATGCACTCCAGCGCCATCGCTATTGCTGCTAGTTCCGCTGTGTACGGATTCTGCTCGTCTCCGGGCCCGAGAGTGACAGAATAGCTGGCAACCACCTCGCCTGCGCTGTTGCGAGTCGCGTTGCGCGCGACGCCTCCCATTCCCACTATGCCGCCCTTCTTCGAGCTAGACGTTGCTATGATGATGCCCTCGACGTCGTTTGGTGCCTTGGCTGCCTTCGCTAGGTCGTCCTCGACCACCACTGGGATGCGACTGGTCCATGGCGGCAACGCATACTCATGGATAACCTCCATCCGCTCCGTATGGACCCTTTCCACCGCCGAGACAATCTTCTGCATTGGTGATATAAATCGCTTGCTTGCCTTGTTCTTCAAAGCTGCCAGCGGATGTGTCTTCGGAAGGGTCCGAAGGTTGAT